CGGGGGACCGGGGTCAGTAGGGGGCCCCATGGGATGCCCCTGGTACCTTTTTCATAGGCTTTTGTGAGTTTAGGCAAGGACACAGGGGCCCCATGATCCCCTATTGCTCGGGTACCCCATGAGTTGTCAGTCCGCCCCTGCCTGATACAGCAGGCACATATCAAGAATATGAAATGTTTGGTTTACATATTCTTTAATACTGTTTTTATATCCATAAGGGTAGGAGTTCAATTGTTTTGTATAAATAATGCAGAGGACTTTTTTTAAGCTTTTGAAAAAGTCAGTAGGACAAAATGTGTTGAGTGAAGGGTGATGTCATCACACTAATACTTGGCTACACTTGCTTGTATGCTTACTAAAGGAAGTTTAATAAACAGCGGTTTAAGAATGTGCTTTCCATAAGCAGCAGCAAATGTAAGTTTTTATGTGTGAAAAAATGTTAATGGAAAATTCTACCTCACTATACAATATGAGTTTTACTTTTACAGAGGGATTGAAGAGAAGAAAAAGCAATACTTTAGCGGTGTGAACTATAATGAAAGAAAACTAGGTGGAACAGAACTCCTGTTAAATCCCATTGCAAAACATAGATAGGACAATCTGTTGAGTTAAGGGTTTATAACGTCTCTAGTGTGTTTTCTGTTTAAAAGATTAGTGGTGAAAGTAACAGGAATTTTGTTATTCACCATAAAATCCCTTCTCTGAGTTCATTGACCGACACAGCTTCTCTTCAATCTTGACAATAGGGTTATAGCATCACCTACAGGAGTAGGACATTAGGCAGTCCCAGCTGCTATAAACCCCCCCCTCCCTGCTATAGGCAAGCCAGTTAGTTATAAAGCAATGTTAGAAATAGAAACTCCAAATAAAGGGTGGGTCCATCAATGAACTCAGAGAAAGGGATTTTACAGTGAATAACAAAAATCCTGTTTTCTGCTAAGTTCATTGACAGCTTCTCTTCAATCTTAACCATAGGGGTGTCTTAAAACAATGCCTCAGTTTCTGTTTTTGCTGCCACTCCTCACTAACAGACAAGTCATGGACCATAAACCGCTACCTCCAAGAAGGTGTGCACAGAAAATTAGGTGAAATTTGGTAAAGGTGTGCACAGATGACCAGGTAGCCACCTTGCAAAATGAAGCCCAGGCAGAGCTTGCTGGAATGCAAAAGGCAGAAGCCCGTCTGACCGGTCAACCCAGAAATGGGGCAGAGGAGGCTGCTAGGCATTTTCATGAACTGTTCATAATCGAAAAAGAGAATACAAATTCTGAAAGGAAGGTGTGGTGGACAGATGCACAGGAAACTGCCCGAACCCTGTGCAAGGAGTGCAGAGCAACCTCCTAAGACTGAAGGACACGGAGACAGAGAACGGAGGACAATATCACATAGATGAAAATCAGACACCACTTTCAAAAGGGTGTGGATGAAGAATCACTTTATCCCTGTGTATGACCAAATAAAGGAGACGTACAGGACAAGGCCATTAGCACCAATACATGGTATGCAGAAGAGATTACAATAAAAATAGCATCCTCCTGAGATAGCATAAGCAGGAACTTTCCCAAAGGTGGTCAAAGTAGGCACCAGTCTGAAGGATGAAAGGGAACCAGGATCAGCTTCCATGGGGGCAGCGGAGAATGCACAAAGGATGCCACAAGAGTAACCTCCCTAGCGGTATGATTATGTCCATATTTCTGTGCTCAAAGTGGTACATTTTTTTGCATGGAAATATGTATTTTTTTTATTGTAGGCCTGTAATTTTTAGGAATAACCCACTGAAATCTGTCCGAACAAGAGTCTAGTAAACATCCCAGGTAGGATAAAACTTGAAACACATCATAAATTATAATTTAATAAATAATCATAAAAAATAATAAATATAATAATAATAAATTTAATTCAATAATATAATCAAACAAAAAAACACTGAAATTTGAAATATTGCACCAAGTTCGCACATCACTGAGCAAAGTCGCAAAATCGTTTTCAGTGTCTGATGACGAATTTCCCCACAAATCATTATCACTCAATTCTGAAAGTGGTTCTTGCTTTTGACCTAAAGGGATACTTTTTGGACACCATGGACGTTTCTCAGTTTCCAGGCAGAAAGAACAGTAAAACTGCAGGCAGGGCACAGGATAAAGCACTAGGGACAAAATGTATGTGAAATGGTTTGATACAGTAATGTTTTACTATGTGATTTTAGTGAATGTCACTTTTTGTCATTTTCAAATTTCCCACCGTTCCGTCCCCTGTACATCCCGACCCTCGCAGTGGACGGAACCCAGATGACAGATGCCGGCATCCGCCGGATTACATTACTGGGGACACTGCAGAGAGACATTGCGGGAGCACAGGACAAGGTAAGTGATCGAGGGATCCCGGAGCAGCGCCGCTTGGTAAGCCTGAGTGTAGCTCGGGGTTACCGCTTGTGGTACTGAAACTTTACCCCGAGCTACACTCGGGAATACCGCCAGGGAGGTTAAACCGTTGGATAAAAGGTATGAACCAAGAGCATGCAGCAAAGGAACATTGAAAATAATGGGCCACAAGGGAAGAAACCCAAACCTGAATCATACTCAAGGTAAAACTTGCTCAACAGCTATGACTAAGACTAACAGCTGAAATGTGTAAGCTGCAGTACTTTGTACACTCCACCTGTGTTAATAAAACATGATATTCAGAAGAATGAGTTGCCGGCTCTCCATTTCATTTCTGGAAAGGCCAGGATCTGAGCGACCCAGAAGGCATGTGGAGGGACCCTGCAGTTTCACACTATGAGCTATAAACCTTCCAAGTACAAGGATAAATCTTCCAGGAAGTAGATATATGGACCTTCAGCATGGTGGGAATCACCAAGTCTGACAACCTCCCAATTCTCAGAACTTGGCCATTAAGACCCTATTTGTCAGCCCACTATGGTAAACAGGATGGAAGATTGACCCATTGGATAAAAGATCTTCCCACAGACGTAACTGCCAAGATGCACCCACAACCAGCCACACCATGACAGCATACCAGAGGCTATGACTCCAATTCAATTCCACCAGAATGTCTTGAATCCCCTCACCCTCTATCCTACTCAACAGACATGGAAGAAGCTAGAGAGGAGGAAAAGCTGAAAATTAGAACTGCTCCACTGTGCCGTAGCATCTGTAGCATACACCAGAGTATCCCTTTCTTTCGTTACAAACTGTGGTACTTGTCTATGGATATGGGGCACTAGGTGCAGCTGATGGCTCATGTAATCCACCAGTCAGCATTCCACACCTGAAATTTACATGACAGAGAGAACTGGCACTTGATGCTCTGTCCATCAAAGGATTCTGGAAGCTACCAGTGCCACTGCCACACTCTTTGTGTTGTCCTGTTGCTTGACATAGAGCATTGTCCAACTGAATCCTTACCAAAAGCCTACAAAGAAGCTCTGTCCACTGCTCTAGACACATGATGAGTGCCCAAAAACTCCAGGATATGTCCTAGTAGGCTATCTTCCCTCAGCATCCAGTGTCCTATTGCTGACCTCAACCTCAGGCCCCCTTCCCAGCCGGATAGGCTGGATCTGAAATGGCCACTGGCCAAGGCTTCAGAAGACAAAGACTTCCTGGTCAGAAGTGAGGAAGACCAAAGCTGCTAGACCAGAGAGGTCCTAGCCTCCTGGGCCCATGGAATCCAATCGTCCAAGGACAGGAGAAACGTTTCCCCCATACAGGAATCCCTACTGCAGACCCCTTGTTTGCAACTGCGCATATGGGGCCGCTTAGAAGGTTGACACCATGAAGCCCTGAACCTGCAGGGGGCATGGCAGTGGGAGTCTGCCTGCAGAACAACTGCCACTGGACTGTGGACTGAAGCCCTTGGAGCTAGTGTAGAGGAAGAAACACTGTGGCCTATCCTGAGTCAAGGATCAGACCCAGATACTCCAACCTCCTGGTCAGGGTAAGAGCAAACCTCGGAAGGTTCAGGACCCATCTGAAGTCCTGCAGCGACTGCAAAATAATTCCCGGCAGTCCCCCATTGTCTCAGCAACCCAAGACTGAAACTCATCGTAGTGGGGGAGCATAGGCCAGAACAAAAAGAAGTGCCAAGAACTGGCAATGCACGTCCCTGATGGCAAAGTGTAAAAGGCGTTGATGCCCAGCAGCGCGGGGAACATTTACAGTAGATACATATCTTCAATGTCTATGGAGGCCCAGAAATCCACTGATAAAGGAAGGTCACCACCGAACCAGTGGAGTCCATCATGAATTTTGTGCAAGCACAAAAAACAATACCAGACCGAGACGCCCAGGATCGGACAAACCCCTTTCTTTTTCTGAACCGCAACCAAGTTGGGAGTAAAACCCCCGAAAACCTCTCTGGGTCCAGACCAGGATAGTCACTCTTGTAGCAGGATATCCAACACTGCCCTGGAGAGCCTGCAATGACACAGGGAAATCAAGAAATGGAGGAAAGAAAATAGCCTAGCAAATAGGAACAAATTCTTATTTGTGGCCTTACAAAATCGGTACTTGGACCCATTTAGTAAAACCTCATCTGTAATATGCAGTTCAGTTTTGAGCACCAATTCACAAAAAGGATATTAGGGAACTGGAGAAATTGCAGAGAAGGGCAACCAAACTGATAAAAGGAATGGAGGAGCTCAGCTATGAGGAAAATTTAGAGGAATTGAATTTATCTTCTCTTGAGAAGAGGAGATTAAGGGGAGATGTGATTAACATGTATAAATACATAAGTAGTCCATATTGTGACTTGGTGTAGAGTTATTCACTTTAAGGTCATCACAGAGGACAAGGGGACACTCTTTACGTCTGGAGGAAAAGAGATTTAATCTCCAAATATGGAAAGGTTTCTTTACAGTAAGAGCTGTGAAAATGTAGAATAGATTCCCTCGAGAGCTGGTTCTGGCCAGCTCAGTAGGTTGCTTTAACCTCCTCAGTTTCCAGGCAGAAAGAACGGTAAAATGTAGGCAGGGCACAGGACAAAGCACTAGGGACAAAATGTATGTGAAATGGTTTGATACAGTAATGTTTTACTATGTTATTTTAGTGAATTTAGTGAATGTCGCTGTTTGTCATTTTCAAATTTCACGCCAGTTCCGTCCCCGTATGTCCCGACGCTCGCAGGGGACGGAACCCAGGTGACAGATGCCAGCATCCGCCGGAGGACCTTACAGGGGACACTGCAGGAGGGACATCGCGGGAGCGCAGAACAAGGTAAGTGATCAAGGGATTCCGAAACAGCGCTGCATGGTAAGCCCGAGTGTAGCTCAGGGTTACCGCTTGTGGTACTGAAACTTTACCCAGAGCTACACTAGGGAATACCGCCAGGGAGGCTACAAAAGGCATGGATTCTTTCCTAAATGCACATAATATAACTGGATACTAACATGTATAGGTAAAATTGATCAAGGGAATATCCGATTAATCCTGGGGATCAGGAAGGAAGATCAGGATTTTTTCCCATGCTGGTGCAAATTGGATCATATGCACCACCGCCGGAGACTGAAGGACTTCAATCCCCAGTTTGGTTTGAAACTGTGTAAAAGAAAGGAAAGGAACCCATTCCCATTCCCTATTTGGGATTTTGGCAAAGTTACTCCTCCCCCCCTGCAAAATGGATGATTATGTCATCCAGGATGGCACGCAGGAGCAGCTCTCCCAGTAAGTGAAAACAGCAAAAGCTTCAGTTTGCTGACCAATGCATAAGCCATGGAACTCACTGGAACACCCCAGCCAACATGGAAAGCTTGGATGCAGGGGCTCATAGCCATTATGCAAGTACTTGAAGCCCTGAACTAATGTGCATCTACAGGTTTCACATAGACCAGGAGATCTGCTCCCGATTTTGTCCTCCCATAAGCGAGGAACTGGAAGAAAGAAGGCTCCTCCATCGGTAGTATAGATGCCTATGACACTAGAAATGGGTGGTCCAGGACACAAGGACAGGTCCATTTCCCCAGAGGGGTCCTCTAGAAGACAGGATGATGCTCGTCACACAATGATGCTCTGAGTGGTTCCACTCCATGTAAATGAGTGCAACAGGAACCTGCAAGGCATGGAAACCCATTGTTCAATTAAGCTTTGACCTGGAAGCTGATTGGTTTCTATGCAGAGCTGCACCAGATTTTGCACTCTCCACTATATTTTAGATCCAGTGATGTCAACATTGGGTCTCTTTGTTTCTGTACGAAACACAGACAAATCATGCCTGGTGGGATGACGTTGCACCATAGCTTTCTGTCAAAACACATTACAGCACCTTGCCTCTGTGGATGGCTCTTCTGAGGAGTTATGCAAATATCAAAATGCCTTGATGGGTGGTGTTAGTCTGGATAAGACAATCCTATGCAGACTGTGTTTGCATGCAGACCACTCTAGGTAATGCAAATATGTGATGCCCATAACCAATGGCTCCAGCTGCTCTCATTGAGTCCAGTGAGGAGGAAGAGAGAGAGCAGGGCCGGTACTGTCAACTGTTTTACCTTAATGCAGAGAATGCAAAAAAAATGTTCACCCTTTACAACCACTTTAAATAGGCACATCCTAATAATATATGTTTTCCTGAAATTATTTCCACGATGTTGGCCATTTATAAAAAGGGGGGGGTGTCCTTTATAATTAAGATTAACAAGTTGTTTTTAAAACCACTAATTATTTTATCTCATAATAATTTACTCTCAAATGTTTTCAAATCACAAACCAAGATGTCATCAAAATGTGTAATCTTCATTTTTTACACAATATGAGGAAACATTGCCACTTTACAAAGTGAATGAGGTAAAACTAAGTGAAAATTTATTTTGAAAATAATACCCAATAATATGCAAGAATAAGAAAAAAAGGATTTTGCTTGCTCATGATTGGTGACTGAAGTCAACACACTTTCACCTCATTCACTGGGGCCCTTCCTTCTAAAGTAATTGAAATAATATATATCTATCAACTTATTCCATCATACCTACTATATTAGAAAGTAAGTTCTAAATACATATGTGTTTTTTTTACAGTCCCACTTAATGTAAGAGCCAGCCAACTATTCAAACATGTAGATATGTAGGACATTATATATAGAAAGTTCATGTGTACCACACATTGGATATAATGATAAACACGTCCACTTTTTAGTTAAAGTAGTTGTGTGTCATGTCTAAATATGATTGATCAGTGCAAAAGGAACTAGTATAAGACCAAGCGCACTCAGTAATCAGCAATCAGTAACAGAACTGGGGTGACAACCTCCCTGTCTTCTTGTACTACATGTCTGTATGAGGACACTTGCCTATGCCCACATGGAGTGAGACTGCCAGAAGTATCACTGGTAGAAAAAAGTATTGTAAGGCATTTTCAAACAAAAATCAGTACAGGCCTACAAACAAGCTACAAGACACAAAGGCCCTGATTTACTATTGGGCGTGGGCGCATATTCGTGGGCGAACACCCAATTTTTATGGGCGACCGTCTATTTTTACCCCGCAACGAGATTTACTATTGAGCAGTGCCCATAAGCAGATGCCCAATCAAATTTACAAAAAGACACACGCCCGGAATCAGACTCACAAAGCAGACTTGCTAAGAAGCACGTCTAACACCATGAAAAAAAATCACTGCAGAGACATGTTTACTTAGAAATTTGCTTTGCCAAATATCAGGACTTCACTTTAAACAATATCTGCTATTTCCAAAAAAATTAAGAATGTGTAAAAAATTGTTTTTTTTCAAGGAAATCGACACAGTAAAAATCTAGACGCCCGTGCAGTGTCTTTGGCCGATATAAATGCGCATGTGCAGAACACATTTTAGGTGTCTGCCATGGGCGTTTGCTTTTTAGCCACTGCCTAATAGTAAATCTCACTGTGGATTCCTCTGACAGCCGACACTCGGTAGCGTCTACTGTGTTAAACAAACAGCACTAAGCATATCTTCATGTATTCTAATTTGATTTCCTTAGTTCTAGTGATTCTATTTTTGTTTCTTATCCTTTATAATTATTTCTGTAATGATTTTACTTATTTTGAAGGTCTAGATAATATTTATTTTGACAGCTGAATGTAAAAATAGAGGTCCGCAAAAAAAAAAAAAAAAAAACAGCGTGGGTCCCCCCTCTCATCCTTACCAAGCCCTTCAGGTCTGGTATGGATATTAAGGGGGAACTCCACGCTGAAATTAAAAAAAAAAACAGTGTGGGTCCCCCTCTCAATATCCATACCAGACCCTTATCCGAGCATGCAGCCCGGTAGGTCAGGAAAGGGGGGGGGGGCGAGCGCGCCCCCCCCCCTCCTGAACCATACCAGGCTACATGCCCTCAACATGGGGGGGTGCTTTGGGGCAGGGGGGCTCCCCCCTCCAAAGCACCTTGTCCCCATGTTGATGAGGACAAGGGCCTCTTCCCCACAACCCTGGCCCACTAACGGCCTGAAAATCAGCTGATTTTTTTTTTTCGGACGATTTTAGACCCATCTAAAGCAGGCCATAGATGGGTCTAAAATTGGCCGATTTTTCTGCCGGAAAAAAAAATCGAACGATTTTCGGGGCGTTAGTGGGTTAATTGGTCAGCCATTTTTGGCACATTTTTTTTATCAGTAAATTTGGAAAAAGAAATTTCCAACTTTACTGATAAACAAAATATGCTAAAATCCCAAAAAATGGCTGACCAATTATCCCACTAACGAAAGAGGCCCTTGTCCCCATTAACACCCCCCCATGTTGACGGCATGTGGCCTGGTATGGTTCAGGAGGGGGGGGGCGCTCGCTCGTCCCCCCCCCCTTTCCTGACCTGCCGGACTGCATGCTCGGATAAGGGTCTGGTATGGATTTTGGAGGGATCCCCAAGCTGTTTTTTATTTAATTTCGGCGTGGAGTTACCCCTTAATATCCATACCAGATCTGAAGGGCTTGGTGTGGATGGGAGGGGGGACCCCATGCCGTTTTTTATTTATTATGGTGCTGGTTTTTAAATGTAATTCTCCCTTTTTTTTTTTTTCTTCACTATAGCTCAGAAATTCACCTGTCACGTCCCCCAGCTAAAAGAGAAAGTTTTCTTGGAATTTATATCCCTAAAGGAAACAATGTTTACTTTGAGTTTATCTAAAGATACAAAGTTTTCTCTAACTTCGGGGGAAAGTGACTTCTAAGCTTGTGAACTATAGTGAAGAAAAAAAAAAAAAAGGCTGGCATTTGCATTTGAAAATCGGCGCCGACATACACTTTGTATTGCGAAAAAAATTATTAACAATTGTGTAAACCGAGGCATTATTTTCAATGGATTTTCATTCGTAAACCAAAAATTACGTTAACCGAGGCGTTGGTAAACCGAGGTACGCCTGTATTAGTATTGCAATACTTTGTATTGGGGATACATAGAACCAACATACATCTGAATTGGCAACATAGCACAACATTTGTGTCACATTTGAGAAATCTGGCTAGTTACACTGACCTTGCCCAGGGACCTAGGATTGATTCACACCACAGAAATACAGGCAGGTTTAATGTTCAACAGCTCCGTGGGTTAGTAGTTAGCACTACTGTCTCACAACGCTAGGGTTGTTGGTAAAGCCAATCTCGGAATAAAAACTATGGGGTTTATTTACTAAAGACAAATAGTCTGTGCACTTTGCAAATGCAGTTGCACTCAGTTTTCCAACAGCTTAGTTAATGTGGTGAAGCTCTGCTGATTTTCATAATCCAATCATGCGCAAGCAAAAATAATGTGTTTTTTCTTGCACCTGATTGGATATACTTTGCAGTTTGAAGCTTCACCACATTCACTAAGCTCTGGGGAAAATTAGTCCAACTGCACTTGGAAAGTGCAGTCTTTTTGCCTTTACTAAATTGTATCACGCAAGTGGATCCACATGCCACTAGCTTGATTGGAGAATAGAGGGCTCCATACACATACATACACATACAAAGAAAAACAGAGAGCAGCACAAAGCAATCCACTGGTGTAGTGTGTTAAAGCATCAATTTATTAGTGGAGTAATTATAGGTATTGCACTCACAAAATGGGGGAAAACTCAGGGAAGGCAGCAACAACACACTCTGGAGATACCTGGTCCTGTATACTCCAGACTCAGCCAGCGAAATCAGATTAAAGTCTGCAATAATGAACACAGCTGCCCATCTCAGTACTGCTTCTTTCCTGAGATGGGTGGCTATTTTCATTGATGTTGTTCCCTTTGCACTGCACTCTTTGTGTTTCCTTCTCATAGGGATTTGCAGGGCAGGGGGGGGGGGCTCTGTGCCAGCCACCGAGAGGGGAGGACTGTCAGATGTAAACACATAAGCTGGACTTCTGTGTTTACAAATTAAAGTAGTGAACTGTGAGCATGGGGGGA